TGTATGCATAATATAATTGTGGTGTATATATTTAGAGTGGAGAATTTAGAGTGCAGAATCGATTCCAACCCATAGCGACCCTATAGGACAGAGTAGCACTGCGTCATAGGGTTTTCAAGACTGTAAACCTTTATGAAGCAGACTGCCACATCTTTTTCCTATGGAGCCACTGGTGGGTTGCAACCACTGACCTTTTGGTTAGCAGCTGAGCTAACCAAATATATAAATTATTATATATCACCAGTATGGCTATACTGTGGAAACTGAATTTGAAAGAGAGCAAAAGTGAATTCTGGAAGCTGTGAGGCTAATACCTTCAGTTGGGAGATGATGGTTACTTGAACTGAGGGGTGCTTGTGGTGGTCATGAGGATAGTGATTGTCTTAGTCATCTAGTGCTGCTATAACAGAAATACCACAAGTGGATGGCTTTAACAAAGAGAGGTTTATTCTCTCACACTCCGGGAGGCTGCAAGTCCAAATTCAGGGCGTCAGCTCCAAGGGAATGCCTTCTCTCTCTGTCGGCTCTGGTGGAAGGTCTGTGGCATCAGCCTTCCCTTGGTCTGGGAGTTTCTCTGCACAGGAACCTCAGGTCCAAAGGACACGCTCTGCTCCCGGCACTGCTTTCTTGGTGGTATGAGGTTCCCATGTGTCTCTGCTCGCTTCTCTCTTTTATATCTCAAAAGAGATTGGCTTAAAACACTATCCAATCTTGTATACCTCATCAGTATAACTGCTGCTAATCCATCTTATTAGATGATAGTGATTGACGTGACAACACATAAGGAAATCATATCAGATTACGAAATAGTACACCATTATACACTACTGGGAATCACGACCCAGCCAAGTTGACAGATATTTTGGGGGAACACAATTCAATCCATGACAGTGATGTTAGAGAAGACTTTTAAAAAATGGCAGAATTTGAGATACTTAGGTCATAAACAGGACATTTTTGGTAGTAAAAAATTATTCCAGATTTTTGAAGACTTTTTGACATAATAAATGTAGAAGAGTTTAAAAATAAAGAGATGGACATTGAGGCATATGAGTATAATAAAACTGCCAAAAATCATGAGAAAACATTGTTAACAAACAGAAATTAAGTTGCTTAGAAAGTATTGCTACAAGAAAAAAAAAAACAAAAAACCCACCAGAACTAGTACATGAATTTAACTAAGCTATGGGATTATGAGATCAGTATACAAAAGTTTAATGTATTTCTATGTACTAGCAAATAACCACAGTTTGAATCCACTGGCTGCTCGCCGGAGAAGGATGTGAGTCTGCTCCTGTAAAGATTTACAGCTTTGGAAACTATGGGGCAGCTCTACTCTGTCCTGTAGGGTCACTACGAGTCAAAATTGAATTGACTCGATGGCAACAAGTTTTAGTAATGACTGACTGAAAAATGGAATAAAAAATTACAATATTAAGAGAAAAAAAACATCAAATATCAAGGAACAAATCTAATGAAAAACAAGACCCTGTACACGCCAAACTACAACACATATCTCAGAGAAATTAATGAAGATGTAAATAAATGGAGAGATATACCTTGGTCATGAATTGGAAGACTCACTATTGTTCAGATGTCCAAAAAAAAAAAAACCCAACCAAACCCATTGCCATTGAGTAGATTCTGACTCACAGAGACCGACCCTACAGGGCAGAGTAGAACTGCCCCATAGGGTTTCCAAGGAGCGCCTGGTGGATTCAAACTGCCGACCTTTTGGTTAGCAGACATCGCTGTCAGCCACTACACCACCAGGGTCCATTCTCTCCAAATCAAAACTCCAGGAGTTTTTTGTTTGTTTGTTTGTTTTAAGAATTAACAATTTGATTCTAAAATTTATATTGAAATGCAAAGTACTTAGAATAGCCAAAGCAATACTGAAAAAGAACAAAGTAGGAGGACTTAACGCTACCCAATTTCCAGACTTCCTATAAAGTTACAATAATCAAGACAGTATATATTAGTGTAAAGATACGCAAATAGATCAGTGGGATAGAGTCCAGAAATCAATCCACTATTGTGCCGCATCAATTTAATGAGAAAAGAAAAATCTTTTAAACGGAATCTTAGAAATGTTGATTGTGAGCTCAGTACAAAAATGCATACATACTGTATGATTCAGTGTATATGAAATGCAATACCTATCCGTGGTGATAGAAAATAAAGTGGTTGTGAGGGGTGGTGAAGGAAATGGATTACAAAGGGGTGCAGAGATCTCCTGGAGTTCAGTATCTTGTTTTGAGTGTTGATTACATAAAACAAAACCAACCAAACCCATTGCACACAAATGGATTCCAACTAATAGCGACCTTATAGGACAGAGAACTGCACCCTAGAGTTTCCAGGGAGTGCCTGGTAGATTCAAACTGCTGACCTTTTGTTTAGCAGCTGAGCTCTTAACCACTGTGCCACCAGGGCCCTGCATTGCATATGTAGACATTTACAATTTTTGAAACTCCTTGAGCAGAACGCTTAGGATCTGTGCATCTTGTTTTAAATAAGTTATACCCAGATTTAAAAAAAAGAAAACCTCATGAGCATGAGCCAGGAAGTTACCCTGAATAAAGGAAGCAGGCTGGGCATAAGGCAGCAGGAAACTATGAAGGCAGTGGTGGACTGCTGAGCCCCATCTAAGGTGGTGGCTACCACTCTGTCCCAGCCATATGTCCCAGTGTGGGAATTGAACCTAGTGTTTCCTGAGCTTCTAAGCTTTCTAGGCAATCCTGAGTTCTTAATTTTCACATCAGATCCCTTGATTTTAAAATATATTGTTTATTGATTAAAAAAAAAAAAAGTATTGCAGTTGGGAGAACGTTAGCTAATTGGTTCGTAAGAAAATAAATGGCAATAAATAGCTCTAGATGCTATTGCATATTTTTTTCTAATTTAATTAATGCAAATGTATAGCCCAATCATTCAATGTCCATTAACCTTGATTATAGTGGATTTGAGCAGCACTTTGCCAGCTCTCTTTGTTCAGTACTTACATTGTAGGCACTGGATTAAGTGCATTGAAGGGGAGAGTGCTCTTTTTTATTCTAACATTTGAGGAAGGTACAGTTATCCCCATAGGACAGTGGTGGTACAGAGATAGAATTCTTGCCTTCTAGGTTCAATTCCTGGCCGATGTACCTCGTACACGGCTACCACCCATCAGTGGAGGCTTGTATGTTGTTATGATGCTGAAAAGGTTTCAGCAGAGCTTCCAGACCAAGATGGACTAGGAAGAAAGGCCTGATGTTCTACTTCTGAAAATCAGCCAAGGAAAAACGTGTGGATCACAGTGATCCAATTCCTAACCATTCCTGGGATGGCATAGGAACAGACAACATTTCATTCCATTATGCATGGGGTCGCCAAGAGTTGGAGGCCAACTTGCGACAGCTAACAACAACACTCTTATCCCCACTTTTCAGAAGAGTTTACATCATTTTCCCAGCGCACACTGCTAGGTAATGGCAGAGACAGTCAAACCATATGCTCTGAACCCCTAGTATCCCACAAGCAACATCAAGGAGCAAGTTTACTCCTAGGATCAGTCTGAGTGAACTCTGCAGGGATTAGAGGTTTATGTATCAGGATAAATTGATCAATTTTAGGCACACGTGGTTGACATCCTTGGCCCCTCACTGTATGAGTACTGTGAAAATTAGAACTCTAACTCATATACTAACTGATATTATACTGGAAATATTTTTATTTCACCTCTTCAACTTAGAATTATTAATACTTTTAAATAAATGAAATTGATTCACCCAAATGCGTTGTACAGTGTTGATTCTTGTATTTATCGGTTTGTTTAGTGAGCATTTGTGTGCCTTATGTGTCAAGAATGCTGTGAGGTGCTAGAGATAAATGAATAAGACACAGCCCTTGTCTTCAGGGAACTTCAAAACACCAAAAGACTGTATTTAGATTACAGTTATTTATATTACAATACTGGTTTCAAAAAATTGTTGGTATATAATAAATGTTAGATATGCTATCTAACATTTTGGGATTATTATCATTGTGTTTTATTTCAGAGGGTTCAGTTAAGTCTTGTCTCTTCTAGTATCAAAAGAAACTGAACCCAGCATTTGTGTACCTACAAATTATTCATTCAGCAAATATTTACTGAGTAGCTACATTGAGGCAGGTACTAGACTGTTTACAGGGAATATAGTGATAAACAATATTAGCTATGTCCTCATGGAATTTACTGTCTGGATAATTTGTCAACTGACCTTGACTTACTCTTTTTCTTGAGTTCTGATTGCTATGCTACCTGTCTTACATTATTCTCTTCATTTACTTTTTGTTCTATTTTTTTGTGTCTGCTATCATATTCAGTATTGTGCTGCAGACACATAGCACTAAACATGTACTGAGTAACTTCACTGCTGTGAAGTAGTAATGAGACCCTAAGAAATCTCTACTCTCCTATCATAATTTAATAGTAGCCTCCTCTTTTACTTTTTCTTAGTAAAATATATGTGGCAACTTTTGCTTCTTTTGCATTGTTATAAACCTGAGGGGACAGATTGTTTATCTGTTGGCTTTATGTGTTAAATTTATATTAACCAGTTAGAAATCTATTTATTTCCTTCCATGCTTGTAATTTACTGTTTTGTTTTCATTATTACTATTATTATTTGTTTGTTTTAACATTGCTACTCTTGCGGCATCTGAAAGTTTTTAAGCTTGTCACTCCATTGTTCACATCATTTTTGTGGCTTTCTCCTTCAGCCGAGCCCAGAAATTCCCCTGTGTGCTGAAGAGCCTTTGGTAATGCCAATGAGATTGTCCTGTTAGTGATGTGTTATTGTGGGGTCTAATATGTCCATTTCTTGTTTCTAATTCTTTATATAATTGTACATATCCTTATCTGTGAAAACTGCTACTGGTTATTTATTTGAAGCTTTCATTTAAAATGACCATTTTATCAGAAATAGCCTTTTGATGGTAAGCCATTCTTAAACTGTCACCTTTTCTCTTTCCAGTTTTGAGAAATGGTGCTTGGGAAATTGTTCACTGGGAAAAGGTATGTATTGATTTTGATTTTGTTCCAGGAGAAGAAATGCATAGAGGTGTACTCTAGAAGATGTTAATTTTTTATACAATCTAAGCAATGGTCAAGAATTCTTCTAATACAAAAACTATTTAATTAATGTTGTAAACATATCAGGTTGTCACCTCCATTTAATATTTTGGCAATATATTAGAAAGACTATTACAGTTATTTTGAAAAGCAATATTTAGAACTTTTTTGTTCTTTCATGGTATACTTTGAGTACTGTTTTCATTTATCCATGAAGTGTTTTGTGTTGTAATTTTTTGCTTTAATCATCTACTGTCCAAGTAAAAATAAAAGTTTGAGGTCTGATATTTCACATTTGTATATTTTATCTCAAACTCATACATTGTGACTAATCACATTTGCACACTGTTAATACCTTTAAAAAAAAAAGTCTTACAATCTGAGCATCATCTACTAATGAGCTGAAAATCTGCTTCATAACATCAAGAGATTAATATGCTCAGAGGACCTTTAATGGCAGTTAGTGAGTTGAGTAGTAATTTAACAGATGTTATCAAAATGTTCATCCTTTTCAGACTTCACTTTCAAAAGGTAAGTGATTATTAGTTCTCCCTTAGCTTTAGAAGAACAATTAACCTCTGATCGACACAAATGAATAAGCTTTGTGCCTTGGTAAAAGACTTTTTGGAGGCCAGGGCCTGATACCCAGGAGTTCTCTGGGCTTGTGGGATCGTTGCCAGGACAGTAAACGTGTAGCTTACGATCAGTTTAAGGGCCACGTCCTTGACTCTGTCTTGTGATATCGATGGTCACCTTGCAGTACTGAAAGGAATAAAGTCAACAATTAATTAATAACATTTTTGTTGATTTAAAATAAGAGGCTAGGATAGAGATTGACATCTCTTCTGAATATTTGAAACATCTCTCCGTCTCTCTTTCGTCTTTGACATAAGAGTAATAAAGAGGAAAATACCTTGATTTTGCTTTCCTTATTTCTGTGATAGTCACTGCTTTTTTCAGAAGAGCAAGACAAAAACTAAAAAAGCTCTAAACACTGTTTCAAAAGAAGTTTCTTTTATGCTCTTGTATGGTACCCACAAATTTAAATGTTTTAGAGAGGAGACAGGTCTGATGCATTAAATTTCATTATAAATATATTTTCTTTACAAGGGCTATTAATGTAGTTAACATAAATGCATATCCTAACAAACGTAAATTGATTTATCAATTTCTTGTCTTCTTACCTAAACTATTTTTTCAGAAAATAGATAAACTACTATAAAATCCGGAGATAACCATCTATTACTTCACTCTAAAATCAACCTATTAAAATGTGTTTTGTGTTGTAATTTCTGTGTTGTAATTGTGTCTTATTTTCCTAACACAGTCATTATTTCCAGATTGTACTAATCTAGCTGGATTATTGTAATATCTGTTTTTTCAATTTTTCAAAGACATTATTAAATCACCAGTCACAATTACCCATAATGACAGAATTTCCATTATCTTGGACAGCAGTTCATTCATATTTTGCCTGTGCATCCCACTTTGAGATACAGAAAAACACAAGGATGGAGTTTAAAGTGTTGCCAAAAGTCATCCAACCAAAATGAACTGATATTACTTAGTAAAATAGTTTTTAACCGTCTGGTTTGTTAACATATATATTCCTTCAAGACATAAGAATTTTCTTCAGGTGAAAGATAAAACCACTGAAAAGTATTTTTCATTTTTACTGATTTTACGTTTTCTAATCAAGTTTTCTGAAAGCAGTAAGGTTTATGTACTTGCAAAGAGAGTAGCTCCAAATTGTTAGAATTCGTAAGAAGTTGGTTCTGTGGTGGATTCAAGATAAATATTCGAAAATTTATAGCATTCTTATGTCAGCAATATCAAGTTGGAAAATATAGTGAATAAGAGATCTCATACTCAGTGACATATGCAATACTTACAAATAAACTTATATATATGACCATTGTAGAGAAAGCATCAAGATTTTAGATGTTGAAGATCACATAAATATACAGAAATGCCATATCCCTAAAAATTCTAGCGAGATGAAAATATTAGTTGTTCAAAATTACTGATGTAATATAATCCCAAGGAAATTATCATTTTTTCCTCAAGCTGACTAAATTATTAATCTTATTTTCAAAAATAAACAATTACAAAATAGAAGAATATTTTAGAAAAATAAACAATGAGTAGGGTTAACTATAAAATAGAAAGCAAAGTTATTAAAATAGTATACATCTGTTACAAAAATAGGCATTCATGAATAGAACAGATAGCTCTGAAACAAACCCTATTTAGTGTTTAATAAAAAAAGACAAAAATAATTGGTAACAGGATCATCTGATCACAGATTAGCAGTTTCAAGATATAAAAGAGTTTATATTTAACTCACGGCCTTGCTAAAATAAATTCCAGCCGTAATTATTAAAACATGGGTTTTGAAAAACATGCAAAATAGAATAAATACTTTAATAAATATTTGGAGAAACAATAATATTCTAATTTTAGTTAAATAGAAATAGTTCTGTAACTCAAGATCTATGGAATTTGATTATATAAAGTTTAAAACTAATATACAGCAATACATACCTCAAATAAGTAGATAGAATGCAGAACATATTTGCACCAAATATGACACAATTAAGATCATTGTTATATAAATAGGAAAGAAAATTTGGCAGTAAACAAGAGGAAATATGATAAGTAACCAGACTCAGTATAATATTCAACCTAATAAAAGATGCAAATTAAATGACATTGAAGTTCTGTTTCCTGTCGGTTCAATAAATAAAAACAAACTCACTGTACTTCAGAATTTTTATTTTTATGAAATATTTCACTCACTATTGTAGATCAGTGGTTTGAGAACCATAAAAAGGGAATTCTGAAACTTATCTCAAGAAAATAATGGTAAAGTAGGAGAAAATCTCTACAAGTATAAAAATGTTTACTGTAGCATTGTTTATAATAGTGAAAAATTAGAACGGATACATGGATATCCAACAACTGGGGAAGAGTTTCATACATTCATTATAACAATCCACTGGTTGGTATACTGGTATATTTTGTGACAACTAAAAGCTGTATAATGATCGAATTATATAACTATGCATTTCATTCAACAAGTTATTTATTGAGTGTATATGCCTAGTAATGAGTTCACAGCAGCAAGCAAGACATTTAAAGGTTCCTGCATCATAAAATATAATCATAGGTAAAAAGAACAGAATCTTGTACACTAAGATGTCAGCTATGTAAAAACAGTTTATTGAATACTAACTGGACAGTTATAAAAGGAGGCTTACTTGTTGGGTTTGCCAGATTATAGGGCAAGTGTTTTCTTTGGTTTATATAATATTTTTGTGCAATTAAAAATTAAATCAATAAACCAAAACCAAGAGTCTGAGCCACATGCCAAGGTAATATGATAAACCTTAGAGCAAGAGACTTTAGTTCAGGGTTTTTTCTTTGTCTTTCTAAATGTGTGGCTACTGTGGCTACTTTTGAATGGTGCTCAAAGGACCTACAAATTTAGAGTACATCTAGTCACTCACAGACAGACAGATTTCAGCTCTCCATCCAGCTTCAGCAGCTCATCTCTCCAGCTATTGCCCTCACCACAAAGCACACTTTTGTCATCACTGGCCTCACCACAAAGCACACTTCTTCAAATTGAGGTGCAGCTGACACTGTTCTCAGGTTTTTTGAGATAGACGTAGGTGGAGAATTTAGGTGAATAATCTCACAATCAACACATTCCTCTGGCTTTGTAAGAAAGCATGGAGTGGTGGAGTGTATGCATGTGTAAACGTCACTATAAAGCTGCTTTCATGTATGAATGTTTCACCATGAAATATATATCTTTAGATTGAGCCCTGGTGGTGCAGTGATTAAGCACTGGGCTACTAACCAAAAGGTTGGCAGTTTGAACCCACCGGCTTGCTTCACGTACGAAAGATACGGCAGTCTGCTTCCATAAAGATTACAGCCTTGGAAACCCTATAGGACAGTTCTACTCTGTCCTGTAGGATCACTAAGAGTTGGAAATGACTGGACAGCAATGGAGATTAAGACTTTGTATCCCAAAAAAGTTGTTAATAAAAATATAATAGTGCTGGGGCCTAAAATTGGACAGTTTGATTTTCAACGGGTTTATTTCAATTTCACATATTCCAGATTTCTGATTTATGTCAAAATAAATATTTTTTGAATCAAGGCATCCAGAGCTTCCCTACCTCCCCCCTCCCCCTTCCACTAGCTGTTCCTCATGCAGTACATAAAGTAGAAAACAGTGGGCTGTCTCTACAAAATTTCTTATCATGATTCTCACTGAAGATACCATTCTCTCCTTCTCTCCAATAAAGTGTTGCTTTAGGGTTCAAGGAGAAGTAGGGAGGGGGAAGAACAAAAAGACATCTCTTCCATTAATTAATTATTGAAACTTATTTTTAGGTTCCTTTGGCTACTAAGAGAGAGGGTAACTTTCATGATTTAATGGGAGCGGCTATCTGTGTGACTTGGTCAAGTTAAGTTGTTAGCCAAAAACCAAAAACAAACCCGTTACTGTCGAGTTGATTCGGACTCATAGCGACCCTATAAAAGACTGAGTAGATCTGCCCCATAGGGTTTCCAAGGAGTGCCTGATGGATTCAAACTGCCAACCTTTTGGTTAGCAGCTGTAGCTCTTAACCACTATGCCACCAGGGTTTCCAGTTGTTACCCAGTTGGAGTTTTATTGTTTGCTAAAAGCAGTATGACAAACCTGTCACTTAAATTATTTCTGTCAGTTTCTGGCTTCAGTGTGCCTTTAATTTGTCTTCATGCGATGCTCAGATAAGTACTAACAGATAGTAAATGAGAAGGAGAGCAAGCCATTAATATTTAATTTAGAATACAGTGATAGTCTCACTAAATGTACTTATGCAAAATCAGGCTTTGCAGATAAGCTTTTCCACTTACTGTGATCTTGGGGAAATAATCTAAGCCTCATTTTCCTTGTTTCTAATGACAAATTAGAACTAACACCTGTTTCATAGGGTCGTTGTGAGGAATGATGAATATATATGAGAGATATTTTCTCCATTCGTATTGAAATCTACTTAAATAGGGTAGAGATTCAATTGTTAAATTCCTCTTTTTTATTTTTATGTGAAAAGGAGAGATTATGAGAAGGTGAGATGTCAATTAAGTGGATAGAATATATAGATTAATTTTATCAAGATAAGTTATATAGCTGATAAAGATGCAAAGTTTATAAGACTTGCCCCACCCCTGGCCTCACTTCTAGACAATTTTATGCCATTTGGTTCTTGCTTGCCAATAACCATCTTTACTGTATTCTTTGCTTAAATACAATGGGTTGTATATTTGTAATGATCTTTCAATGCAGATAATTAACCAATTCCCAGTTTTCTTTCAGGTAAATGTTGGAGATATAGTTATAATAAAAGGCAAAGAGTATATACCTGCTGACACTGTACTTCTCTCATCAAGGTAGAGATACCTACTGACGCTCAAACAGTGTAGAGGATGGTTTCTCTACCCTGCATTGACCTTGTGATTGCTCCAAGGAAATAAGGAATAAACGAAGAATTCTAAACCTCTCTAATGATTTTGAATTAAGCACTAAAAAAAAAAAAAAAAAAAAAAACTGTTGATTGGACTTAAAGGATTCTTTCATGTTTGCCATATAGAATAAGTGATCAGTACTATACTTGATAATTCAAAAGTGGTAATTACAATTAAGAGTAGGGAGGGTATATCTGCATCCTTTAGTATGAGTCACTAACTCTTAAGATGTCCTGTCGTTTATTTTATATAATACATGGATTGGGTTCTATTGATTTTGTCTTGCAATCCTTGTTAATGGTGAACTTCTTTATGATGCATGTGTATATCCCTGCCAAGTTTTTTTCAATCTTCATGGTGAAATGGTACAGGAAAGTTGAATGAAAGATTTCTTTTTTGTCATCATACTTTTTGAAATGGCACACTCTTCCAACAACAAAAATACTTTGGGCTTTCTTTTAATTCCTTTCAGTTACTGAATTTAAATAATTTTTATTTTACTCATATTTTAAGATAGTCATGAATTAGTACTCAGAACATATGGCACTGTGACCTTTTAAAGAATGTGACTTTCAAATGAGTTTATGTTTAAAAACTGTAAAACTAGTCCTAATATAAATTCAGAAAAATTTTTTTAAATATTTTAGAGGTTGTTTATCATCATTTCCTTGGACAGTTTTATTTGTAAAATCCACATGAATATGAACAGTGCCGTTTTTTCAAAATCTATTTAATCAGGTCATTATTTAAAGTGATTGGACTTATGAGAAGCTAGTGAAACTCTGAGTTAGTAAAAGCTATCCAGCTATTTATAGAAGTAAGTCTACAGGTAACTGAAGGAACTACATATAGTTATATTTCCATGTTTTATAGTAGTCAGTTTTTTGTGCCATTTACCTATAGGTTTTTGTTTTCAGTGGGGATGGAGGAGATTTGGATTACAGGAAAAATTAATATAGATGTTTGTACTCAACCTTTCTGTTATTAGTTTCCTTTGCTTATAACTTTCTAAGGGTAGTTTGAAATTAATTCATGAACATGGTTGAAAGTTTCTGTGTTTTATTGACTTCAATTTTGAAAAGAAGAAACTGAAATTTTAGCCTGTAAAAAATAACATCTTTTTATGTGTTTAGAAAGTATAAAATAGAGTCAAAAAAATTAACCTATGAATTCAAGTCCAAACAGGTTCTTGGCATGTCTATTTCATACCCTTTCTAAAAAATTTGCACTGGTTTCAGCACGATGTAGTACTGGACTTAATTAATTACTAAGTAACTCAAAATGCTACAAATATGACATCTAACTTCCTAAGATTCGTGTCTCTGCATTGAAGCTAATAAGGTCTTTATGCAATTAACTTTAAAAACCTTTTAGAATCAGAACATTTTTAACAGAGTTATTGTTTTAGTGGGAGGAAAATAGTGTAGTATACTTTGTTATGGCATCAGGGTGAGGAATTGAAGGAAGGAAAATCTATTAAAAAGTAGCTGTCTATGCAAAAATAACATTTTTACTTTAATTTGATGTGTTTGTGAGAAAACGTTAAAAATCAAAATTTTGTATCGCAACTGAGCTTAAAAGCAAATAAGTATTCCTTAAATATTAAATGTTCTCTTATGCTTTTAGACCTGATCAAAAGAAATTTTGAAAAAATTGGCATTAGACATTTTTATTAATATGTATTATTTTTATAATAATTTCAAACTTTCTGTCTCTTTTGTCCATTTGTTTGTTTTTTTCCCTCTGTTATTCATTTTATTTCCACTTTAATTATTTTTAAACTGGGACATGTAGGTTGCAGTAGGGGAAATAGTGAAAGTGACCAATGGGGAACATCTCCCAGCAGATCTCATCAGTCTGTCCTCAAGGTTAGAACCTCTGAGTTATACAGGATGTGTGTATGTGGGTCCTCACCCTAAACCAGAGAATAGTTGCACCTGAATATGACTGAGTTCTTTATCTCTTCCTTTAAAACCAAATTTTTGGTACTTCTTGGTGATGAGCATTTCACAGATATTTTAAAAGCCTTTTCTGAATTCAATGTTGGATGTTGTTTGTCCCTCAGTTGGGCAGATTCAACTCCTATTGTTATCAATAGGAGTCCAAGAGACATGCCAGTAAAGGTAGATTCTAATTTCCTATGCATCATTGACTCATAGGGACCGTGTAAGTCCATGAGTCTATGAGTCGGAATCGACTTGATGGCAACGGGTTCGTGCATCACTGATATATATTCGTATTTAACAACATGCCTAAATACAAAGGCTGAATTTAGTACCTCACCAGGATTTTGTTTTGAACAATGTTGAGCTTTCGTGAAACAGAGTTATTGAGAAATTATTAAGATTTTAAACATTTGTTTTATTCATATATTTGAAAATTTCTATAAAATCTATAGAATCCCTCTGGTGATTATGACTATAATTTGGGCTCGTATAGGGTTTATAGAGGACCCCCTGCACAAAGATGGATGTTGTACATTTTGTACTGCATGCTTCGGGACCAATTTTTATCCCACTTGTAACTAGTGACAAAGTGCACGTTACTGTGATAAATTTCAGCTGCCAACTAGTGTCTGTATTGTGATATGCATCTTGTTTCATTTTTCCACTTACTAATCAAAAAGCCTGCTTTGCCTCTCTGACTGTAGTTTGTGTTATGGATGTCGTCATAATTTGCTGAAATATTTATTCTCTAGCATGATTCCTTATCTGAGACTCTTGCTGCCTTTTCACAGCACTATTAAGAACTGCTTCAGTAACAGCTGTCTTAAGTGATTACTCAGAATATTGTGGATTTGGACACATATTTTGTTTGCCTCACTTCAAGTAGAAGTCAGCTGTTTAACTTCCTAGAAGAGTTACTTTATGAAAAAAGATAGAATTAACACATTATTCTTATTTTAATATGAGAATGGCCATAGATAAGTATATTGATCCGTACAATTTTAATGCATTTTCCTGCCAGAATATGGAATCAACATTGTTCATTTAGCATTTGTTTACCATTATGCTTCTGTGTTATCAGAAGATATGTTTTATAATTTTATAAACTATTTATATTTCAAATATATACACAAGTAAGTTACAAATTGGGAGCAATGGCCAGAACTAAATTAGCAGTGGTAGAAAATAAAACTGAATAATTGATAGAACAAAAATATAAATATTGAAAGACTTCTCCAGTTGGACAAAAGGAACAACAGCCTTTATGAAAAAAAAAACTGTAGAGTGAATTGAAGAACTTGCAGAGTAACTTTCAAATAAATCTGTAAAATATAAGATTAATGTGAAAAGTAATTCTAACAAATCTTCAGGCCACAAAATTAAGCTAAGTGTGCATTTCTGAAGCTTGGAATAATCTATTATGCACATGTACAAATTGGAAGCTGACTAGAAAATTCCAAGTGTTTGTGACTTGTAAATTTCTATCTTTCCAGTTTTGATCACGCCTGCTTGTCAGAGATAACATTTGTAGATACTTAAATATGATATTAGTGAATTAGGCTTATTATGTAATCAAGCACTAATAAGATGGATTTAGTTTCAGAATGATTTTCCTTATAGTTGAGGATCAGATTATACAGTTGGGCTACAAACTCAAATGTCTGTAGTTTCTCAGACAATAAAATCAGTGTGTTAAGATATGAGACAATTGAAGGTGTGGTCCCTGTGATAAAACGAGAACACACACCCCTTACAAAAGCCACCCCACACCAGATTTTACCAAAACACTGTGGTGGAAACCCATAAAGTTGATCTTCTAGGTTCAGGCCAAAGAGTAATATTGGCCAAGTTGGCCAATCTTTAGTTCTATATTTAGTTTTAGTTTTAGCTTTTGCTGCCATAAAAATCTCTGAAGCAACTATAAGAAATAGGAGAGCAGAAACAGAAAAAATAGGGGGAGAAAAGTGTATGTCCACTTACATTTTAAAGTCTATTCATGCAGTTTTTAAAAGTAGTCTTAAAATTTTAATATTATGTTTCATATGATCCTGTTCATTACATCTAAAAGAATAGTAAATGCAAGTTTGTAAAAGCAGCAATCTGGAATTTTCTACACAGCTATTTTCCTTAACCAATTTACATGTGCTCCACAAGCATGAAATCTCACTTGATATTTTTGAGCTGAAGATAAATCCGGACACAAAGCTGCTTTACATTGCAGATGGGGTCTGTATTGTGTCTGTATGGATGAACAAATTAAATATAATGTGACAGATCTGTTCATTTACATTATCTGGAAGACCAGCAGTGATTGTTGTTAGGGAGGAAATTGCTTTTGAGTCTTTCTCGCTGAAAAGCTGATCCGTAAGTTGTCATGCATGGGTTCTGCCTCACGGCATCTTTCTGTTAGAATAAAAAACATCAAGAAACTAGGTGACTCATGGCTTTGTCTAGAGTCTGAGCATTTAAGTAAGCTGTTAATGTTATTATGCTTTCCCTCCTTCTCTAAATCTTTGTGCTTCTCAATTTTAAACAACAGTGAGCCCCAGGCCATGTGTTACATTGAAACATCCAACTTAGATGGAGAAACAAACCTGAAAATTAGACAGGTGAGCTCTAATACAGGTTTATCATAATTCTTGCTGTTTTATTACATGGAAATAAAAGCTTTATTTCTTGGTGTTATTGCCTTGAGTTGAATTAATTCTGTTTAGTTGCAAATGTTTTCTCATTGAACTACTCTGGCTGTAAGAGGTTTTGGAGACGGATATCATTAAGTATTACAAGAGACTCAGATTTATGTGACTGTTGATATGGTCCATCATATAGCTACTACATCTAATTTTAAAAAATATTATATCTCTATTTTCCTGGAGCAACAAAGGAAGGAGAATCAGGAATAGGAGAAAGATATGGAATGTGTGGCTGAATTGCCTCCATGAACAACTGCCTCCTTTGCTATGAGACCAGAAGAACTAAATGGTGCCTGGCTACCATTACTGAACATTTTGATCAAAGACTCTACAGCCGAATACTTACCAAAAGGGGGGAAATGTAGAACAGAATTTTAAATTTTCATGTAATCCAGACTTTCTGGAGGCATGGAGGCTGGCTCAACCCCTGAAACTGTTGCCTTGAGATAATCTTTAAGCCTTAAACCAAAAATATCTCCAGAAGTCTTAGTTTAACTAGTAAAGAATGTCAGCCTTGAGGATTGTGCTCTTTTAAGATCTATCTGTATGGGAACAAAATGACAACAGCAACTCAAAAGATTAGATAGGAACCTTAGGGGGCAGTGAGTTTATGTTACTGGGGGAGGAACAACTCAGAAAAGGAGAGTGAGAATGGTTACACAGCTTTAAGGATATAATCAGTGTCACTAAATTATACATGTAGAAATTGTTGAATTGGTTTATGTTCTGTGTGTATTCTCAACAACAAAAATAAGATAAATTATTTTAAAAAAATAGTTTATGTAATAGCCAATGCATTGATGCCAAAATAATAATAGTCTTAAGTGCTTTGAAATGTATTAGTTCATTTATTTCCCCTATTTACCTGACCCAAATTATTATTTGGCTTTGCCAGATTGCAAAGATGTAGTTTCCATTACTGCTGTAAAACTTACAGTCATCTTGGGACATGGTTTATATTTCTGTATTTATTTTTCATACCACTTCTAGCAGAAAACAGCTGTAATGTTTATGTTTTTGAAGTTTTAAAATGGACTTTAAAAAATGTATTCCCTTGGGTTCTAGGTGAATGGTGACAGTGCCCCATGAGAAGGTTGAGGTGTGATGGAATAGGCCATCACACTGAGTTCAGAGCCCCTGAACTCACAATGCCACAGGAGGAGGAGTCACATTTACTGACAGCCAGTTCTAGTTGGCCAGAAGGGAGAAGTATTTTGGAGTTTTTTTCCCCTTAGTGGACTAAAAGAACAGAACATTACTATTCTTCTTGGATGTAGATTCCGTTTATTTTCAACCCCTATTTGAAATTCAGCACTGTATAATACTAAATATTTATTTTTGGAGGCAGGTGGTTCTTTGGGGACTTATTTTAAAATATCTTTGCAGACTAGTTTATAATCTCTTAAATATGTTTTAGAACTTTCACAAACGCTGTTCTATCCTTATGCTAAAAGCCTGTGTTCAATTGGTGAGGAAGGTATCCCTTAAATATTACTTGACAGGGAGAGTATTAATAATGTAAGTGGAAAGAACCACTAATAACATAGTGGGGTCTCTTAGATCTGAGACTTCTTCGTGTCTTTAATGCCTGAGTGTATTCTGAAGCACTCCTGTACCCACAACTTAATTAATATACTTTTTGCTTATTTAAAAATTTTTAAATAGGGCTTACCAGCAACGTCAGATATAAAAGACATTGACAGTTTGATGAGAATTTCTGGCAAAGTCGAGTGTGAAAGTCCAAACAGACATCTCTACGATTTTGTTGGAAACATAAAGCTTGATGGACAGAGGTATGTAAAATCAGTTTCTTACAAACATGGAATTGACTGTGTGATGGAGTATTGCTGAGTTTCTTCGAGGCCTGGGTACATATTATTATTTTCTTGTGCTTTAAGTTTGATCACTGAAAACCCTTTTTGTAAACATTACTCTTCTATACAGAGTCCTTTTGTGAAAATGCTAGATATTTAGCCCCAATACATATGGCATAACTGAAGACCTCCCCAGGGTTTCTGCCACCCTGGCAACTCGATGTTTTCAGGCATATGCCCTGGCTTCTGTCATATTGCTTAAGGAGTAAATAACCTGTGGCCCATTTTTGGCCAGAATACTTATGTTGTAATTCTCAATTAAAGGCTTAGCATCCAGTCTTCATGGCCTGGGTCCTTTTCTGTGATCCCTGGATCCATCAAGCTGTTCAGACTCTATCTGCAGGGTGTTCATTGTACTGAATCTAGGCCTTTGAACCTGTTTGTTCCTATTCAAACCCCTGCTGAAAATTTGCATTTCTAGCAAGTACCCTGCTGCAAATTTTCATTTATAACAAGTTTCCATGAAGTTATACCTAAGAATCACCTGAGGATCTTGTTAAAATGTAGATTCTGATATCTGGGGTGGACATGCAAATTCTCAGCAGGAAACTTGTTAGAAATGCAAATTCTCAGCAGGGGTTCAAACCAGAAGGAAAGGATTCATAGCCCTGACTGAATCATTTCTTGTCTTCTCTGAATAATTCCATATGTTCTTTTCTAGGCCAACCATGTCATCTGTAGTCATTTTTGGTTATGACCAGCTTCCTGCCCTTCTCCCCTCTTCTCCTCTTTCCTACCTCTTCCCTCATCCATTCAACCAAGACTTATTAAGCACTTCTGTAGGCTAGGCCAAGGAGCACTGGTGATGCAGTGGTTAGAGCGGTCAACGGCTAACTGAAAGGTCGGTGGTTCAAAACCACCAGTGGCTCCACAGGAGAAAGATATGGCAGTTTGCTTCCGTAGAGATTTACAGCCTTGGAAATCCAGTAGGGTCACTATGAGTTGGAATCGAATTGACTGCAGTGGGTTTGTTTGTTTTTTTTTGTTTTTGTTTTTTTGGTTTTGGTGGGCTAGACCAGTTCCAGGTGTTAAGGATGTAGCAACAAACAAAACAGATAAATATTCCTGCCTTTCTGAACTAACTTTCTTGCAGTGAAGGAAAGGCAAATAGATAATACAACGATAAATAAGCAAATTCTATAGTATGTTAGAAAGTGATAGATGCTTTGGTGGGAAAAAACAGCACAGGATAAGGGAGATTGGGAGTCCGTGGGAGGGAAGCACTTTTAGTTAGGGTGGTCCCAATAAGTCTCACTGAGATGGTAATGTTTGAGCAAGGTGAGTAGGAGGTGAGGAAGCTAGCCGTTTGAGTGTCTGGAGGGAGAGGATTCCAGGCAGAAGGAATAGCCAATACAAATTATTTGTTATATCATTATGTGATCTTATAGTGGGAAGGGTGCATGGAGTATTTGCAGAATGTCAAGGAGGCCAGTGTGGCTGGAGCGGAGTGACCAGGGAGGAGAGAAATAGAAGAGGGGCCAAGAGAAGTTAATAGTAGACTCATGTAAGACTTTCTAGACCATTTCAAGTGTTTCCTTCTAAGTGAAATGGGGATCTATTGGAGGATATTGAATAGAAGCAGATCAGCATTTCAGCTTTGGTCTTATGTTTTTTGTTGTTTGGTGCCATTGAGTTGATTCCAACTCATAGTGACTCCATGTGACAGAGTAGAGCTGCCCCATAGGGTTTTCTTGGCTGTGATCTTTACAGTAGCAGATCACCAGGTTTTTCTCCCGCAGAGCCATGGGGTGAGTTCAGACTGCTAACCTTTCAGTAGCAGGCGAGCACTTAACCATTGTGCCACCAGCGCTCCTTTAAACAAGTTTATAATATCCAAACAGAAATGCCAAGTTGAATATATAAATCTGGAGTTTGGGAAGGAGGTCTGGGTCTGTGAGATAAATTTGGGAGTTGTTGCATTGATATTTAAAACCACGGTTCTGGAGGTGATCACACAGGGTGAAGGCTATAGACAGAAAAGTGTAGAGCCCCAAGGGCTGTCCTGAGACTCTCCAATATTAAGAGGTTGGGAAAAAGGAGGGACCAGCGAAAGAGAATGAGACCAAGTTGGTAGAATGGAAACCACGAGAGAGTGAAGAAACCATACCAAGGCAGAGGGAGTGACTAAAGTGGGTCAAGTACAGTGAGGCTGAGCGTTAACTGTTGAATTTAGCAAGTGGAAATCATTGAGCATAATTAGAACAGTTTCAGTGGAGTCTGATGGGATGGACTGGACATAATGGAAGGAGAGCTGTTGAAAATAGCAAGCAGCTTTTTCAGAGTTGTGCTATAAAAGGGTGCAAAGCAGTGGGGTGGTAGCTGGCAGAAAAGATGACATCTTCTCTGCCTCCCTGCCCCCTCTTTCTCTAATTTCTATTCCCATTTCCCTGTCTCCCCTACTTTACAGTATGCCTTATGTACCGGGTATTTTTAGTGGCCAACTAAATGTTAGCTAAATGCATTTGTTCAGTTCACTAGCCTGAGAGAGTATTATCAGTGCTTTCATTATTTTGTAATTGTATTATTAAATTATTTGAATTCTCATGGACAGTTGCCATGTACCCTGAACCCTCATCCTCATTTAGATCCACCAAAAGCTTTCTTGTAATTTACGAAGTAATTATATGTTCTAAAATTTGCACAGGGTGATTTTTTCACAAACATACAGTTGTAGACTAATGAAAGATTTGGCTATTCATACAAGTAGCATTTCTGTAGTCTGACATTCCTAACTGGCCAACTTCCATTTCTTATCAGTTCCCCCATCAAATTTGTGCCAAGAAAATCCGTGCTCTGTAGGAGAAACTTTGTAGGATGGTGCCAAGATTTAGAAATAGAATTTATGTAATATGTTTCATTTTATATGAAAGGTGGAAACAGATTCTCAATACCCATGTATTTGTAGTACATTTGACTTTCACAGTGATTACCCAGAGATCTTTGAAGACCCTGTGTTTGGATGATATATGCACATTCCTTGAAGGAAGAGGGTCGTTGTCTAATGCCAGAAACTTTGGAATTAGAATTCTGATAAAAACGAACTTTTTTTAGTCCTTGTAACTGAAAAGTAGTATTTTTTTACATTTGAAGAGTTTGCACCTAATCCCAATCAGTCTATACTACAAATGCTGAGGTGATAGCTGCTACATTATACCCCATTTAATAGATAAGGGGAGTCCCTGGCTGGTGTAAACAGTTAACGCACTTGGCTGCTAACAGAAAAAGTTGGGGGTTCCAGTCTGCCTAGAGGCACCTTAGTAAAAAGTCCTGGTTTTCTACTTCTGAAAAAATAGCCATTGAAAACCCTGTGGGCAAAAACTAATCATTAACTTTATATGGAAAGGGAAGAAGCCCCGAATAAGTAAAGCACTACTGAGGAAGAAGAAGAAAGTTGGAGGACTCACTCTACCTAACTTCAGAAACTACTATACAGCTAGAGTAGTCAAAACAGCCTGGTACTGGTACAATGACAGATACATTGACCAATGGAACAGAATTGAGAAGCCAGATGTCAATCCATCCACCTACGGTCACATGATCTTCGACAGGGGCCCAAAGTCCATCAAATGGGGAAAAGACAGTCTTTTTAACAAATGGTGCTGGCAAAACTGGATATCCATCTGCAGAAAAATGAAACAGGACCCACACCTCACGCCCTATACAAAACCTATTCAAAATGGATCAAAGACCTGAATATAAAGCCTACAACTATAAAGTTCATAAAGTTCATAGAAGAAAAGATAGGACCAACACTTCAGGCCTTAATACACGGCATTAACAGGATACAAACCATAACCATCAACGCACATACCCCAATAGATGAGCTAGATAACTGGGATCTTCTAAAAATCAAACACCTATGCTCTTCAAAAGACTTCACCAAAAGAGT